CTGATTTAGGGAAAACCAGTCAGCCGGGCGTAAGTTCTGAAGGTGGGAGAATACAGTGACTGCACTCTGAAGTATGGACGGGGATGCTGCAGATTGGTCGATTATTTGAATTATGATGTCTGTGTATTCTGGAAACAGGCAAATGTAGTTTAAAAATCTAGGATGGAAGGAGAGTGTAGATGTTCGAGGAAGGGATGGAGGCGAGGTGTGAAGGAGGGTTGTAGTATAATTGTGGTAGTATGAGTGTGGTACTGTCTCGGAGAGGATTTAGGAAGATAGGTTAACCAGATCTGACGGTGACTACGCTGGAATGTTGTGGATCTATTGGTGTACCTGGAGTCGACGTCGAGGGTCACTGCCCCCGAGGCCCAATCCTAGACCTGATCTCCTGGTTACTGGCATGATTTACCAGGCTGCCAGTACCAGCCGCACACATCACAGAATCGTAAGATGTAAGCCCTTTTTTAAAAGACAAAACTAAATATTTTTAGAAAGAGCCGCTGGAGAAATCGGCCTTTCCTTGAATTAAAAAAAAAATTAAAAACTTTTGGTAAGTAGACAAAAATATCCGGTCAAATGTTGAAAGCTTAAACCAACTTGAGGGCAGTCTGGCCAAGCGGCCAGGGAAGGGCTGACCAGGATGGTTGCTGTCAATTCCAGCTACCATCAAGGGTTTGACCGCCAGCCACCTACCAATAGAGAGAAGCCCCAGTAATGCCTCGCGTTGATTGGCCTGTTTGAACCGCAGACCGTTGACTGGGGCCACCTCACGCTTTCCTGGCGAGAAAATAAATATATATATATACGTTTCAAAAGAATACCTTTACAAAGGCAAATATTGGAGAGTATGTCTTTCAGTATTTCCTTCCATTCATGATCGCCTCCGTGGAATGTACCTTATTCTCTTATTAGATTCTTCTAAGGAATGACCACGAGTCGAGGTGAGATCGTGAAAATTTGTCATTCTTGTATCTTGAAGAGCAATTCACAGTACCATGACTGGAACAATTCACAAATCCGTGGCAGGAACGGTTAACAATACAGTGGCTGGAACAATTCACAACCACGTCTGTAGGTGAAGTGTAGTCGCTTCCGGACGTCGCCACCTACCCCGTGTCCCGCTCCCAGAACTGGGCAGGACGTGATGTATAGTTAGTTTAATATGTTTATTATGTACCCTATACCCATCCTGTGTGCGGTAGTCAAATGATTACAGAGATACATAATGGGTCCAGGGACTGGACTACAAAGTTCTGATAGCTGAACAAGTTACAGTCGTAATGAACTATTTACATGTTTATATCTGGTTACAGTCGTAATGAGTTATTTATGCAGACATGGACTAGGTGACGTATAGACAAGTCTCCTTGCAGTTATTTTGTCCCTGTTCACCTAGCAGTAAACAGGCACCTAGGTGTTAGTCGACTGTTAGGTGTTGCATCCTGAATGGGTGGGTAGGGGATTACCAGTAGGTTCCTTATTGTCTTCAAAAGAGAACCTGGTAAGTACCCTAAGTCAGTTCATGATGAACCGGGCTGTAATTTGCACATCGGGGTGCGTGCGACCAGCAATTAACAGCGTGGTTAACGAGGCCGTGATCCACCAGTGGTTAACGAGGTCGTGATCCACCAGTGGTTAACGAGACCGTGATCCACCAGTGGTTAAAAAGGCCGTGATCCACCAGTGGTTAACTAGGCCGTGATCCACCAGTGGTTAGCCAGGCCGTGATCCACCAGTGGTTAACGAGACCGTGATCCACCAGTGGTTAAAAAGGCCGTGATCCACCAGTGGTTAACTAGGCCGTGATCCACCAGTGGTTAGCCAGGCCGTGATCCACCAGTGGTTAACCAGGCCGTGATACACCAGTGGTTAACGAGGCCGTGATCCACCAGTGGTTAACCAGGCCGTGATCCACCAGGAGGTCTAGTCTGGGACTGGATCTCGGGGGCGCAGACCCCCGAAATCATACTTAAGGTATCTTTCAGGTAGGATCAGGCTAAGTAATGAGCTGCTTATTAAATATCATGTTCTGAATTCGTAAAATGAGCTGAGGTAGGATAGCATATAGCTTGCAAAGTTAGCTGAGGTAGGATAGCATATAGCTTGCAAAGTTAGCTGAGGTAGGATAGCATATAGCTTGCAAAGTTAGCTGAGGTAGGATAGCATATAGCTTGCAAAGTTAGCTGAGGTAGGATAGCATATAGCTTGCAAAGTTAGCTGAGGTAGGATAGCATATAGCTTGCAAAGTTAGCTGAGGTAGGATAAACAGCTTGTAACAGCTGATGTAACAGCTGAGGTAACAGCTGAGGTAACAGCTGAGGTAACATAACTTTTTAGTTTTATTAGCAAAATAAAAAAATTTTGAGAGCAAAACAAGTTGTATCAAATGCCGCAGGGATGAGGAACCTGCGGCATTCTAGGGCATTACCTGCGGCATTCTAGGTCATTACCTGCGGCATTCTAGGGCATTACCTGCGGCATTCTAGGGCATTACCTGCGGCATTCTAGGGCATTACCTGCGGCATTCTAGGGCATTACCTGCGGCATTCTAGGGCATTACCTGCGACATTCTAGGGCATTACCTGCGGCATTCTAGGGCATTACCTGCGGCATTCTAGGGCATTACCTGCGGCATTCTAGGGCATTACCTGCGGCATTCTAGGGGCATTACCTGCGGCATTCTAGGGCATTACCTGCGGCATTCTAGGGCATTACCTGCGGCATTTTAGGGCATTACCTGCGGCATTCTAGGGCATTACCTGCGGCATTCCAGGGCATTACCTGCGGCATTCTAGGTCATTACCTGCGGCATTCTAGGGCATTGCCTGCGGCATTCTAGGGCATTGCCTGCGGCATTCTAGGGCATTACCTGCGGCATTCTAGGGCATTGCCTGCGGCATTCTAGGGCATTGCCTGCGGCATTCTAAGGCATTGCCTGCGGCATTCTAGGGCATTGCCTGCGGCATTCTAGGGCATTACCTGCGGCATTCTAGGGCATTGCCTGCGGCATTCTAGGGCATTACCTGCGGCATTCTAGGGCATTACCTGCGGCATTCTAGGGCATTGCCTGCGGCATTCTAGGGCATTGCCTGCGGCATTCTAGGGCATTGCCTGCGGCATTCTAGGGCATTGCCTGCGGCATTCTAGGGCATTACCTGCGGCATTCTAGGGCATTGCCTGCGGCATTCTAGGGCATTGCCTGCGGCATTCTAGGGCATTACATGCGACATTCTAGGGCATTACCTGCGGCATTCTAGGGCATTGCCTGCGGCATTCTAGGGCATTACCTACGGCATTCAGGGGCATTACCTGCGGCATTCAAGGGCATTGCCTGCGGCATTCTAGGGCATTACCTGCGGCATTCTAGGGCATTACCTGCGGCATTCAGGGGCATTACCTGCGGCATTCTAGGGCATTACCTGCGGCCTTCTAGGGCATTACCTGCGGCATTCTAGAGCATTACCTGCGGCATTCTAGGGCATTACCTGCGGCATTCTAAGACATTACCTGCGGCCTTCTAGGGCATTACCTGCGGCCTTCTAGGGCATTATCTGCGGCATTCTAGGGCATTACCTGCGGCATTCTAGGGCATTACCTGCGGCATTCTAGGGCATTACCTGCGGCATTCTAGGGCATTACCTGCGGCATTCTGGGGCATTACCTGCGGCATTCTAGGGAATTGCCTGCGGCATTCTAGGGCATTACCTGCGGCATTCTAGGGCATTGCCTGCGGCATTCTAGGGCGTTACCTGCGGCATTCTAGGGCATTACCTGCGGCATTCTAGGGCATTACCTGGGGCATTCTAGGGTATTGCTTGCGGCATTCTAAGGCATTACCTGCGGCATTCTAGGGCATTACCTGCGGCCTTCTAGGGCATTACCTGCGGCATACTAGGGCATTACCTGCGGCATTCTAAGGCATTACTTGCGGCATTCTAGGGCATTACCTGCGGCATTCTAGGGCATTACCTGCGGCATTCTAGGGCATTACCTGCGGCATTCTAGGGCATTACCTGCGGCATTCTAGGGCATTACCTGCGGCATTCTAGGGCATTATCTGCAGCATTCTAGGGCATTACCTGCGGCATTCTAGGGCATTACCTGCGGCATTCTAGGGCATTACCTGCGGCCTTCTAGGGCATTACCTGCGGCATTCTAGGGCATTACATGCAGCATTCTAGGGCATTACCTGCGGCATTCTAGGGCATTACCTGCGGCATTCTAGGGCATTACCTGCGGCCTTCTAGGGCATTACCTGCGGCATTCTAGGGCATTACCTGCAGCATTCTAGGGCATTACCTGCGGCATTCTAGGGCATTACCTGCGGCATTCTAGGTCATTACCTGCGGCATTCTAGGTCATTACCTGCGGCATTCTAGGTCATTACCTGCAGCATTCTAGGGCATTACCTGCAGCATTCTAGGGCATTACCTGCGGCATTCTAGGTCATTCCCTTTGCAGAATTCTAGGGCATTACCTGCACATCTTGGGCATTACCTGCGGCATTCTAGGTCATTACCTGCAGCATTCTAGGGCATTACCTGGGGCATTCTAGGGCATTACCTGCAGCATTCTAGGGCATTACCTGCAGCATTCTAGGGCATTACCTGCGGCATTCTAGGTCATTACCTGCAGCATTCTAGGGCATTACCTGCAGCATTCTAGGGCATTACCTGCGGCCTTCTAGGGCATTACCTGCAGCATTCTAGGGCATTACCTGCGGCATTCTAGGGCATTACCTGCGGCATTCTAGGGCATTACCTGCGGCCTTCTAGGGCATTACCTGCAGCATTCTAGGGCATTACCTGCGGCATTCTAGGGCATTACCTGCGGCATTCTAGGGCATTACCTGCGGCATTCTAGGGCATTACCTGCGGCATTCTAGGGCATTACCTGCGGCCTTCTGAATGAATTATTTTTCTGTAAGTTATTAAATAATAATTAACTTTTTACAAAATAACCGACATTTTGCAGAATATCTAATTAAAATTTCTTGAATG